GTATAGTGACGAGCTACGGGCTGGGCGACCGGGGTTCAATCCCCTATGGGGGCAGAGGATTTTTCCTCTAGCCTCTGCTTCCAGACTGGCTCTGGGGCCCACCCAGCCTCCTCTACAATGGGTACCGGGGTCCTTTCCCGGGGGTAAAGCCGGCCGGGGCGTGATGCTGACCACTCACCCCCATCTAGTGCCGAGGTCAAGGAAGAGAGGAGCTATACCTCCTCTCACCCCAAACGCCTACATGGCGTATAGTGGGACAAACTTTACTTTTACTTTATTATAATTTTCTGGACATACTACAAGCAGAAAAGTTGCTTTTTATTCGATTTTGAATTTCCCTTACAGTATAAATCAGAACAGAGTTAAAACAAATATATTTCGTATTTAATTATTCATTCAGTTACCTGTATTTATGCTAATGTAACATTTTTTGAAATGTGTTTTAATGAAGGAAATCTTACGATTTCAGGTAGGTGGAGTTGTATTTTTTTAAATAGCCAATTAATATTCTTGGTTTTAATTTATTTTCAGTATTGAAACTGTCTTTTGAGATTTTGAAATCCACAGTCCTGTTCTCATGGCTTGCAAAACTGATTATACAATAAATATATAATTGTCAGGAAATGGCGTATTTTATTTTACCCCAATATGTGTGTAATTTTACCCCACTAGTGGAGTACATTGAAGAATAAATGACGCAGTTAAGATTTTTAATTTGTAACGAAGTGTTTTGTGAACTAATCAGAACATCACTGCACCCAAATGCTAATAAAATACTTTGGGTTATTCTGGTCGTTTAAAAGAAGCATAATCATTAGTTCTTTAATTGTGGGCCGGAGTGAGAAAAGGTTTGACGTGGACACAAGACTCTAAGTTTTTTTTAAAAGAAAAGTGAAAGAAAGTCACAAAATATAATAAGTGGGAAGATATTAAATGCGTTGTATTACTGTCTACCTTTGCACGTACCAGAATATAACACGTGATATTTACATACAGAAAGCCCGCCGGGAGAAATGGACTTATTGGACAGTTTGATTGGCCGATATAAAATATTAATGACGAAGAAAATGTTACTTACGTCCTCTTAGCCATGTGATTCTGCATTTTAAAGTACATACTGGTATAGTGGGCGCAGTAGTTTTTGGCCGGTGGAATTTTCAAGGGGAAGGCTAGGAGCGAGTCACTTGTGCTTATCGGACTGAACGCCCAAACAAAAGAAATACACTGACCGTGCCACCTCAGGTACACGGACTAGGCCCGTCCGCCAGCTCCGCTAGCTTCTCCACCGGCCAAAAACTACTGCGCCGACTATAAACACGTGTTGAATTAAGGATTCAGTTCGGCAACGCTGTGTAAGACCAGCAGGTGGGAGTAAGAGAGAGCAATATGTTAGCAACTCCTTGAAGCGTTACCACAAGAAATTGAAGAATTTTAATTGTTTCGTAAAGGACAACTGCATACTAAGGTTGAAATATTTAACCCCTCTTCTATGGCAGTGAATGTTGAACATTAGGTCAACGCAGTGAATCAACAGAACGTAACTGTCGAAGACAATAACATATTTCCGCGGAGTAAATGAGAAAAACTAGGACTTACGATATGAATTAAATAGTTAAAGAATACAGACCAAAGGATATAAATGTCTGGTTTCTGTGTAGTCTCGTATGTGTTTACCAACATTTCGGAGGCGCTTAATGCGTACATCATCAGGGTAACAACCCAGAAGAGAGTCGTTTTCATTTTAAAAGACGTAAGAAACTCAGATATCGTAATAATATTGAGAACACTAAACGGAGGATATTAGACTACGTATCTCAAGGAAGATGTCATTGGATTGATCTCGAAAGAGATCACTCTCATAAAAATTTGATTGGAACATATCGGTGGGTTTAAACCTTGATCGTGATGATGTAAGAAAAATTGACTCTGGAATTCGTAACCTGTTCTTAACACACTTTATGTGCAAGAACGTCAGCTTTTGGTCTTGCAACACCTTTGCTCTGTCCTTGAAAACTCACCAGTCTGCTAATGATATGCCTGATGGAATACGCGCCTGTAAATGATACATTTCGTTTATTATTACAGTGCCTGAGGACGATCTGGGTCTTGATCCCCCCACCCTCAAGGCGGCCCGGAAACATCCAGGACCCAACCCAATGCAACTATGCGGCTTGGTATTCTTACAGGTAAGGAGAAGATACGGCAATCCATCGCCTTACGTAATAGAATTGTAGGGTCCATTACCTGCGTGAATAGCAAATTGTATTAACATTGTACAGCTCTGAGAACCTTTTAAACTGATGTAAACAGAATATATTTCACTTCATACTGGAACTATGAATTCATAGTATTTAATTTTCCCTGGAGGTTTGTGACTGTGGTCTATTTATCACACGGATTTTAATTTAGATATATAGTTGATATAAGTGACGTTTCAGAAATTTGTTCTAGTCTCGTCCTCAGATGATCGGCTTTCAGTGTACTGACAGAATAGTTATTGCACGTAAATTTACTGTCCACCGACCACGAGAAAAACCCTGCTAGGGGAAGTCGTTTCTGGTGCGGTGCAGGGGTGATGTTTACTACCAAGTGGACTAGAGGGCTGCTATTGGTGGGAAGTGTGATACGTCAGAGTTTTACGCTACTACACA